TTCAGTCGAAGCTAAATATGGTGTTTTTGGGCCCTTAAATTGTTGCAAGCAAAATGGGGCAGTACTGCAATGACGTTATAATTTAAATTAAATGTTTTAGTTTTTTATGTTTCGTTACATGTCACTACGTTTGTATAGGTTAACTTCGGACATTGTTTTCGTGGTTTTTGTATTAGACCCGACGTCCATTTGTCGGTAGCTCAATGATTGTTTGTAAAAAAAAGAAATTCTGAAATATAGCCCGTATCGACCCGCGCAATAGAACCGACTTAGTAGAGGAAAAATTTGAATTCAAGCTGGGGTAGTATCGACGCTTAAGAATGTAAGTTTTTGACACGTCGACAGGCATTTCGGCCTGGTTCTCTCTATCTAGTTAGTCTATGTTTTTAAAGCGTACTCTATGAAAATTGAAACCGACCAATCGCATTCTGTCTTATCTTAAAATTCTGCATGCTGTCATTGGTCAGTTGTCATTGGAGGTGCACGAAATTGTATGTAATCATTATATTGCCATCTATACGATAAGAAAAGGATTGGTCAGTTTAATTTTCGTAGTGTCGTAGACAAACATCGAGTATATAACCGGAAATAGAGAATAAATAAGCGCTATCCATCCCTGGCAACTCATCAACTCATCAGGCAAATGGGCCTTACATCATTTTTAAATATCAACTGTCGTTTGCACTGAAATCATAAATTAGAAAGCTGAAATAGTACAGCGACAACAAATGACCTGTGTGTACATCTCCGTATATTTGAAAAATATTCTGTATTTATTTTAATAAATATAATATCTCTAACAATAGGTGGCTGTTCCATTTGGTGGTGTGGGAAAAACGGGAAAACATCTAATTACAAAATAAACGGAATCACATTTCATCGGTAATTAGATATCAAATATGTAATTTTTCAATTTTCTTTCATTATAGCAAAGCTCAAGTTAAACTGGTCGATTTGAAGAGAAAAATTGACGACAACCGTCAATTGTTTCGGGTTGGCCAATCAAAGCGCAGTTGTCACCGTAATGACATGGCAGAATAGTTCTGAAACAAACTATATGACATTTCGTTTCTATTTCCGATTATAGACTCGATTTAGACAAAAGATACATTTAAGAAGAATAGGATGGTTTTTTTTCAAGTATTTCTGGTCACCTATAAACATAAGATTGTTTGGATTGGCAGTATAATATTGCAACACTAAAGATATAAAAAAGCAATATAATAAAAATACGTATTTTCTATTGAATAATCAACAAAATTAGAATTGAGTACACTGGCAACAATACGGTTTAAATTAACCCGTTCAAGAATAGTAACAGCATACGAGGTAGCCGTTACGCTATATGGGCCTAATAAAACCCAACTCCTGTACTGTGCGATTTCAAAGTGCTTTCTGTGTACGAGTAGGTGCCGCCTACTGCTTTTCAATAGAGAAGTAACAACGTACTGATAAAATTCAATGACTTCTATACATTGAACATTTCATATTATATTCTTTAGTGTCCGGAGGCGAGAGCCTGGAGATCCGTGACACAGGTTTATATCTATTATGAACTCCAGTCTCTTACTTTGCAAGTTAGTCATAAGACTTTAGTGGAAAACATTTGTAAAGAGGCAATAAAGATGATTATTATTAAAATAATATAAATATTTTTATAATATCAAGTGACGGACGGACAACTCGCGCGCCTGATGATAAGCTACGCGCCTGTCCGTAACAATTGTAGTGCCAATCAGAGCTTTAAATCGGAAAGATCTGAGGGGCACTGCCACTGCGCCCGTCACCTTAAGACATAAATTGAGAAGTCCCATGTGCCTGGAATTTCACCAGCACCCTTATTCTTCAACACCGGAACATAGTAATGCTGAAATTATTGCTTGGACGCACACACAGGTAAGGTAGCAGTAATACTCTGGACGAACTCTTTCACAAGAAGGTCCACTGCTACAAAAACTACTATTGAATCAACACAAGCACTAAAGGCAATAAAAATATTGACCTTTTTGTGTGCTAAGTACTATTTATGAATGGGTTGAATCCGTTAATTAAATGTTAATTAATGATAATCAAAAATGATAATTAAATGAGGCATTAGAAAACTAATTATTATTTATAAAATTTACTAACAACTGGGCAGTACAATGATATCTATGTTAACTTATAATAGCCTGAGACTAGTTCAAGGACTTCACGCTTCTATTATGCTCAGGCCACACAGAGGCGGCCGCGGAAACGCCCGGAACGCTTCTGCGGCCGCCCCTGTGTGGCCAGAGCATTAGGGTGGTGACCTACTTGGCGGCACGCTCGCGGTGCAAATGACTTCAATAAACCCACTTTTAATACATACTAATTTTACTGGGTTATATTTAGTATTTACTAAACAATTTGCAAGTATATCCTAACTTACGTTAGTAGCGTTGACTCGAGTTACTCCCACAATGAGTCAACTCGAGCTACTTTATTATGAACTCGAGTTAGCCCGGTTCGGTACCCGCCCCGTCGAGCCGAATACTTCGTTCATCGGCTACTCCTTCTCACTCGGTCGGTTCGGCGACCTTCGGAGTACGCTCGAGTCGCGGTCGGCCGGCCCGACGTGCCTACTCGGTGAATCGTCGGTTCGAGTTCGTGTGAATATACGCCGCATCGCTCACGATACTCGAGTAACTCGAGTTGAAAAAATACAACTCCTCCCATCGCTACCGTTTAGGGACTTGTACTGTGCTCTTTGTACCTGTTTCTAAATTAGATATCTTGTAAACCGTACGTACAACATCTACGAATTCTTACGTAAGAAATCTTGAAACTAGTCTCTTAAATAAATATAATTAAAATACACGCATTAAGCATCACTTTAGCATACATAAAGTCTAAACATACACAATATTTACTAATAATAAGGTAAACGCGTTTTGTACAACTGTTTTCGGTATTCGATCACTTCTATATTTGTTCGAAATATTTAATTAGAGTTCGGCCATTTTGTACACGGATGTGCTTAATTTAAAAATTTACGACTGTAGACACGAGCCTTTTTAATATTTACCATAAGTTCAGGCAAGTTACAAAAGACATATCTAAAGAGCAGACAGTATTCCTTGATGAATGCACTGTAGGAATGACCATGTGATTAGTGTAGCTAAGGTCGGGGTCACTAGTATACGGAGTCGAAATGAATAAATAAGTAAATATTAAAAACTTTACTTATATTGCTATGATCCCCAAGCAAGTTACTAAAGCAGTTCGTCGGGGATAGTGCAAATCCGCATATGTAGCATTGTTAAAGGGCGCGTAACTGCACTAAGCCAAATTTTACAGGAGTATGATTTAACGTTATTGCTTTGTTATTTCAATGGCCACGATTTCATTTTTGCACAGTAAGCATTAATTTATGTTGTCTATGGATTTTTATTTAATTAAGATAATATACAGGTAAGGTAGGTAGGTAGGTCTACGGATTGAAAACAACAGATTCACGTATGTCACGCTAATGTAGTAGCCGCGGTGTTTGATTTATTTAAATTATTAGTGTAAATAGTTTTGCGCATTGGCACTTCATTTTAAACCAGATAATTAACTTGCTGAATTAGTAAAAAAGTCGGTGTTTTACGAAGTATCAGTTTAAAAAAACGACCTGATGAATAAATTTAAAACTGGAATTCAAAAAGCATTTAACGCATCCATGACTCGTACAATGGGCCCAGATCATTATGTCCATGTACGCTTTAAGTAAAAGAAGTGTAAGGGCGATAACATTCATCACGCAAATAATATGTCTTCAACTATAACACCTTGAACCGATCGTCGACATCCAATAACGTAAATATTCCGCGACGTCCTTCGCGCCACCGCCCGTGTGAGGCTCTCCTAATTTTATAACTAAAAATTGCCACTGCTTCTTGCCGGAACTTATACGTTTCATATGAATTAATTTAATAGTTTAAATATGAACAATCTATCCAAAAAGTGACACGAAATTGCAAATACTATAATTAAAAATTTCCTTTACAGGCACTCGGAATACAAAATGAGGTAGTGTGCGATGAAGCAACGTGATTCAGAGAGCTTTTTTTTTATAGAGAAATTCTTTTTAAGGTTCCGTATGAAATAGGTTATTCTCGTTGGCCACTTTATTTATGTCCCGAAAAAAATATTCTCCCAAGGCCCGGTGTACATACATCAAAATGTACAAATAACGATACCTCCAATGAACATTACGCCAACTTAATTTTTGGACCTCTCTTAACTCTTATTACAGTTCAGTATAGGTTCGTAACGGCAAAAAAGCGGGATGGTGATATACGCTTCATGTAGCGCTGTCTCACAACGATTCATTTTAGGTCCTAAAACTGAATCGTAATAAGAATTAATGGTGAGGCCCCTGTTCTGTTTTTATTTTCTTTTTGTTTCTTTCTTTTTCACAAAATTCGTGGTTTTTATTTTTTTCCGAAGTTTGTTTTCTGTTTCTTTGTTTCTTTTTTTTTCACAAAATTCGGGGAGCATAATATTACTAAATAAATATGGCTGTTTACAATAATATCGTTAAAATAGGTACGAGGTGATTCAGACTCAGACAATATTACAAATATAAATGCCCATTGTACATTATAATGAAAATATCGCATTCTAAAGCGCTTTATATCCTGTACGATAATAGGGTATCTAGAAAAATACGTTTTTCATATAAAAGTGAGGGCATACTTAGTATATCTTAAGCTTTTCCCATTGCAGTTTTCTGGGTCTTAAGAGATTATAAGAATCTTCGATATGGCCTGTGGGACATGACTCAATATAAGTGACGAACGAGAATGGACAAACGAAACTTACAAAAAGCCCATAAGATTACTTTAGTCTCGGTGGACTCGGACGGGCTTCAATACGCACTATCCCGGCTCAATCGAAAAGTACATGAAAAGTAAGCTTTTCTTAACATCTAGCAACATCGAAAGCAACTTTTCGATTCAACCGAGTTACACCCGTTTTTGGCAAGATTAAGAGGTATATTCGGATTTTTTTTCACAGTAATTATTTTTATTATTTATATTACCAATAATATGGTTTACAGTAATAATTATTTTTTCCGTGGGTTTATTAATGAAAAACCGATAAGTAAATCATATTTGACTAGATCTTAACATATAGGGTGTTCTTTTAAGTGGTAGGAAAACATTGACTTCTTATTTGTGTCTTCAGTTAAACACTGAAAAGTCACTTTTGAACCATAAAATGAGGTATTTTGGTCTTTTGACATTAACATTCATGTTGTCAGTAGGCATGCCAAGGGTACAGACATAGTGTAAAACAACTATGGTAACTCTTCCTGTACACACACACAATGACGCAGCATTTGTATGGAGTTACCATATTTATTATACTATGGTACAAATGTAACTAGACAGTATTTACCTAAGGCTAAATGACGAATGTTTCCTAACAGCATACAAATAAGTGTTATATTAGAAAAATATTGTTTTTATCCTCACGCAAAATAAACTCTATACAAAAATGTCACAACTTAAGGGGATCAAAATTAAAAGACAGTGATGTCAAACCGAGATTCATTAAAATTTGAGCGATACGTCTTGTCGATATAAATGCATGTCTTCTTTACCGTGGATTTCTCCGCAATTTTATTTTACATACTCACTTTTTTTGTAAATGGCAAACCTGTCGTATGTACCTGAAATAAATATAAAAATAAATAAGTCGTCGAGTATAATATTTACAAATCAGAATGGACAGTGTATACTTAACTTAGAGTTTAATATCCACCCTATAATGTGTCGCACATGACACCAAGCACTTTCGTGACTCAAAAATAGTAGAATTGAGAAAATACGATTTGAAATAAAAAAAAATTCTGAATGGATCTTATTGGGAATAATAGGTTTATTATGATATTTAATTGTGCACTTATAAACGAGAATGTAATTTTTTTGGTTCCATTTAATAATATTTAGAACTTTCAAGTCGGGCCTTTTCAATTCCACTGTTTTGAGTTATGTCAGTACTTCTGCCCCCCTTGTCATAAACAACGCATTTGAATTTTGGTAACTTTCGAGATATTGGCACCCAAAGTTTTTTTCTTTCAAATATGTCAATTCAGTTGATTTTAGTTAACAATAAAACTGAAACGAAATAAGATATAAAAGACGGGGGTAACGAAACTAAGATATAAAAAACCCTTATAGGAGGTTGTAGATCTCGTTTCGCTGATTCCAGGTATGTTAATATTAATAAATTCGCTAAAAATGTCGATTACGTTAGTTATAATAAAGATGAAAGATTTTCGTTGAACTGTCTCTGAAATCCAGGTATTTATGTATAATAAATTTCACTTCTCTTTCATAATCATACTCACATGATCTAGACACTAATCCGCATTGCTGATATAAAAATATCAATGTGTAAGTTACCGCATCTAACAAAGGTTATTTCAACTATGTGGGTTCCTCTCGACCGTTGAGTCGTAAAATGTGTAAGTTAATATGCGTTATAATGATATTTATAATGATGTAACAGCCCTACGCTCAGAACGAGACGTAAACATTGGCGTGTCGAATAAGCTCCGGGATTGGAGTTCTTGTATGTATATGGTGCAACGACGATTTCTACATTTATACTAATTAGTCGACTACTTTTCGTTTACATAATTTGATTGAACATGCATGTAGAATTTATTCAAAATTTTAAAAATATCATACATTTATATATCGCACTGTTAATAGAATAATGTATTAACTCAAAAAGTGTATTTTTTCAGAATCGGTGAAAAATGAATTACTTCCCGGAAACATCATTAAAATTTATGGATAAGTTAAAGTTTACTACAGATATCTAAGCAATTTTCTACTTGCCTAAAATATATTTAGAAATAAGAGGGAAGAAATAATTTCATGTTCTTGAGTAAGATTTTTTTCCAGAACTAGCTCACATAAACTTTGTCTCATTTAGAGTTAAGTAGATATCTTTTAATTGTTTCTTACAACATTCTAAGGACGGTTTTGTTGACGTGTAGAGAATCAAATTTTACGTTCAACAATGGTATAATCTTGAATTTCACATGTTTTGAGTTACAACACTATTGCAATGGCAGTTAGATATGTAACTTTTACTCGATAGATGGCGCTATGCCTAATAGAACAATTATTTGCGTTGTCTACAGATCCTTAATACGAAATGTATAATTTCCAAATTACCGAAGGTTCAAAGACCAAGATCTCCATATTGGACCGACCACTTTTCGTAGGCGACGAGGCTGTGTGGTGACACCGAAGGCCTAATACGTTTCAAAGCCTCCATGAAGTCTTGGAACGTGATGCTTCGAACCAGCGACAGATCCAGGCATTTTACTTCTTCAGGGTCTAGTTCTGTGGACAAAAGATATTTTTATGTGGGTTGTCTTTACTTTTTTATGGTACCAGGTGAAGGGACGAACAAGTCTTGAGTCTGGTGGTAGGCGACACGCCTGTCCATAGCAGTTGCAGGGTAACTCAGAGTTTTAAAGCGCAGATTCAAGGACTTTGCCATTGCGCCTGTCACCCTGAGACTTAAATTGACGAGTCCTATGCGCCTGTAATTTCACCAGCACCCTTGACCTTGAAAACCGGAACACAGTAAAACACGGTAGAGCTTTAGCCACGTTGAAGCAACAGGTACTGGTTCGCGTCCAGGGATCGAGGGAGTTTTTCTTTGTGTTTGTTCAAGTTGTGTATCAATAAGAATAATAAACTCATTAGCACTGTTAAGAGTTGATACTGCCTCACTTAATTTTGCTTAAGTTGAGCGGCAGCGACACTGGGTTCATTTCAGAATTTATTTTTTACAAAGGAAACTAAAGCCATTTGAATAATGTATATCGTATAGTATACATGTTCTATTTAGTTCTGTTGATATAAAAAAAAGACATTGGTATTTGGCCAGTGCCTATTGAATACAGCGGTTTTCTTGTAAAATTTTGAGGTAAGTTTGTGTTTGTTTTCTATCGTGAAAATTGTTAGGAATTGTGTTTTCATACCATATAGTAATCAGTGTGTATCCTCAATGTTACTATATATCTTGTCGAAAGTGATTTATTCAACACTTTCATTGTTATGCGGCATCAACATAAGCCATTTGAGGTTGTGTCGACTCTTAAATTGTTATATTAAACAATGATGAAAAAAATGTATTGAGAGGGCGTGGGCGGGGTGACTTTAGACGAAGAGGGCGGGGAGGATACGGTCACAGATATTTCACAAAGGTTGTACTTGTTTTTGTCCATAAAATGCATGTCGCTTAAGTACTTCAATCGAATGCTTATCTTTGACGCCTCTTTGGACCTCTTTGCATGCTCGGAAGCCCATTTTACGGTTTCCGCGGGACGATATCTCGAGTCATTGACCATGGACAGTAGCATCACATAAGTATTGTGCATCCTGAATAATTAATACTATGTTAATGTTTTAAAATTTGATTGTTAATAATGTAATGTCCAATTCCATGATTTGTTTTTTTTATCTAATTTTTTATTCAGTTTATTTTATGCAATATATAAAATTCAATTATTTGTAAATTTTCATTCAATTTATTTTGGATCTATTCGTTATAAAGTATGATTACATTATTATTTCAATATATGATATTAGCTTAAGAATTACTATTGTGTTTGGATATTAATATGTAAGCAATATGTCTGCCTAAACTGCCTCCGTGGCCGAACGGTTACCATGCCGGACTGCCACGCAGAGGTCCCAGGTTCGATTCCCGGGCCGAGAGAAATAGTTGTATGGCCTACAATTATATCTCTCGTGAGTTTGGGTGTAATTTGTGGTTGTCTATGTGTGTGTCCATGGCACCCGCGACACAGGGTTTCCCTAGTGCGGGGCTATGTTGAGTGTGTGCGTTATTATAATATAATAAATAAATAAAAAAATAAAAAAAACTTTTGGTTCACCTGCATTACGATTTGAATAACACTTGAAATAGGTTAACACTTCCACATATACGTATATATATTATAATCACGAAAATTAAACATAGAAATATATAGATAAGTATATATAAATATATTTTCTTATTTTTGGGTTTTTTTAAGGGTCCGTAACTGAATATGTATCCTCTTAAATGAGAATATTACCTCTGATGGGTCCCAGGGCGGCGTCTCGACACAGCGCCGTGAGGTCGCTGCCCGAATAGCCGTCCGTGAGTGCGGCCAGGCGCGCCAGTTCCTCGTCGCTGAGGGACGACGCGGCGGCGCCGCGGGCCAGCACCCGCTGCAGGAGGCACATGCGCGTGCGCACGTCGGGCAGGGCGACGTACACCCTCTTTGGGAAACGTCTGGAAATACCTCTCCTTGTTAGTTCATGTCTATTTCACTGTAACTCTGTGAAACTAAATCTCTAAACAAACCAGTTAAACAGGCAGTTTTTACTGCCACACAGAGGTCCCAGGTTCGATTCCCGGGCCGGGAGAAATGTTTGTATGGACTACATTTATTTGTCTCGTGTTTTTGGGCGTAATTTATGGTTGTCAATATGTGTATCCATGGCACCCGCGATACAGGGTTTCCCTAGTGCGCGGCTATGACTATGTACGTGTTATTATTACAGTTGTGTGTAGTATGTATATAAACGTACAGTTTATAAATATAAAGAAACTATAAATTTGACTGTAATTGATGCGATATGCCATATAAATTTGATTAAATTGTTTGCGTCATTTATATAGCATCTGGTTTATTAAATACAAATACGTAGTATTACACATGTATGTATGTACACTATGCATTTTTATTTAACAAACCAGATGCTATATAAATGATTTTTCTTCACCTGTTAAGTTGTCAAAATTTGAAAAATGAATATCGTATATTACACGTGTTCTATTTAGTTCAGTTGATATTAAAAAAATATTAGTATATGTAAAGTACCGATTGAATAAAGCGGTTTTCTTGTTAAAATTTCGAGGTGTTTGTGTTTTTTTTCAATCGTGAAAATTTTACGGAATCGTGTTTTCACATCGTATAGTAATCTGTGTATACTCTCAATTTTACTATATATTTGTTAATTAAATTTTTATTGAATTGATATTCAATTATTTTTTGTGAAATTACTCCACTAGTTTGTTATAATTATTAAAACAAAGATCGAACACTCAGAAAAAAATCCTTCGATCCGGTTGGATTCGAGCCGACGTCTTCGCAAGAAGTATCACCCAGTTAGTATCTTCACAGCTACCAGTCCTGGCGAGAGATGTCGCTATTCACTATATTAATTAAATTTTTATTGAATTGATATTCAATTATTTTATGATATATGATAAATCTGTAATAGATTTCTCATAGATGGCGCTACGACTAAAAAGTCGTTGAAAGACCAAGTACAAAGACACGACGCAAGCACATAGAAAAATTCGTGAGGTCGGTTGGTTCGTTCCGTGGCTTAGTTGGTATAGCGTCTGGCACGGTATGCAAGAAGACGTCGGTTCGAATCCGACCGGATCGAAGGAATTTTTTCTGAGTGTTCGATCTTTGTATTAATAATTATATATTTGTTCGAAAGTGATTGATTCAACATTATCACTATTTTGCGGAATCAACCAAAGTAAGTCTGTATTTACCTAAGAGCAGCCTCGTCCAGCTCCTGCGGCCTGTTAGTAGCGGCCATGACAATGAGCCTGTCTGCGCCGGCGGCGGGCAGTCCGTCGAACTCGACCAGGAACTCGGTCTTGAGCCTTCGCGACGCTTCGTGCTCGCTCGTTGACCGCTCGCATAGTAACGAGTCTACCTCATCGACGAAGATTATCGATGGCTGTAACATTACGTATCGAGTTAAGTTCGTGATAGTTCATCGTCATCAACCCATGTATACGTTCCACTGCTGGGCACGGATCTCCTCTCAGGCGAGTGTTTAGGCCATAGTCCGCCACGCGTTGGGGACTTCACACGTTCCGAGTGTCGTGCAGTTTTCATAATGATCATCCTTCACAGCCTCTGCAGTCACTGCAGCTTAAGAGGCGGTATGTCAAACCACTGGGCTACCATGGCTTCATTGTTCATTCAACTCTTAACCGACTTAAAAAAAAGGAGGAGGTTCTGTATATGTATTTTTTGTGTGTATGGTACGCGAATACTCATTTGTGAACCGATTTTGATGATTCTTTTTTTTTTGTTAGAAAGATTGGTCATATTGAAATTTGAAGAAAATATTCCACCTGTAAGGGTGGCAAACTAGGGGATGGATCCGTTTTCGCGCACATTCCGGTAACCGATTCCAACAAAACTTGGCAAATATATGTAATTCCACGATCTTTTGAGATTGGTTTTCGTACTCTATAATGAGATTGATAAGCCGTGAGGGAATAAGTCGCGGTAGCCTGATGGTTTGACCTACTGCCTCTCATGCAGAGGGTCGTGGGTTCGAATCCGGGCTCGCACCTCTGAGTTTCTCGGAATTATTGTGCGAAATTTAATTTAATTTGAAATTTATCATGAGCTTTTCGGTGAAGGAAAACATCGTGATGAAACCTGCACGTTGAAGAAGGTTCACAACCCTCGGAAAACGTGTGAAGTCCCCAACCCGCATTGGGCCAGCGTGCCCTAAGCCCTCGTCTGAAAGGAGACCCGTGCCCAGCAGTGGGACGTATAAAAGGGTTGACTTCTTTCTATATGTTTTTTAATGTTTTTTTTATCTTACCTGCAGTTCTCTAGCGACCTGGAAAAGCGCCCGCACCATCTTCTCACCATCGCCCACGTACTTGCTAGTGAGCGTGGCCGCTGAGATGGAGAAGAACGTGGCCGAGCACTCAGCAGCTACGCACCGCGCCAGGAGCGTCTTACCTACGACAATGGCACTGCTTCAAATTGTTGTTCACACTCATCACTAAAACTATTTACCAAGTAGCCTCATCCAGTAGACTTTTCTGGATATACCAATCTTAATTTTATTCCCTACTGCCGCTTACTTCGTACATTCCAGGAATTTAGTATGTTACCTCCATCGAGTATATAACCAGAAATAGAGACGATATAAGGGCCATACATTCCTGGTAACTGATCAGTGATACATGACTTATAAATATCAAATCTCGTTTGCACTGACATATACACAGCGCCAACAACTGACCTGTGTGTACGTCTCCGTATATTCCAAAAGTATTCTGTATTTATTGTAATAAAGATAATATCTCTAACAATGGCGTGCTGTTTCATTCGGTGGTGTGGGGAAAAACAGCAAAACATCTAATTGCAAAACATAATTAAATATTGAATATGTAATTTTGCAATGTTCGTCCATTATAGCAAAGCTTAAGTTAACTGGTCGATTTGAAGTGAAACAATTGACGACACCCGTCAATTGTTTTCGAATTCGGGCTGGCCAATCGAAGCGCAGTTGTCACAGTAATGATATGGCAGAATAGCTTTCAAACAATGAAATGACATTTCGTCTCTACTTCTGGTTATATACTCGATGGTTACTTCAAAAGGGGTTTTGGGGCGTTGATTGAGTGGGCTGCCTGCAACACGTTTGCTTTCTCAAAGAAGCTTCCTAATGCATACAGGAGCGACAGTGGCTATCATGTTGACCGTGTATCGAATCGAATGGAATAAAAAAGAGCAACTTACCATTGCCTGGTGGTCCGAAAAGCAACAACCCTTTGGCAGGTGATCTTAGGCCGGTGAAGAGTTCTGGCCTCAAAGAGGGCAGTACCACCATTTCTTGTAAAGCCTGTTTAGCGGCCTGTAATTTCACAAAAGAATATCAGCAGCAGTCGAAGTTTCTGAATTGTACAGGTTTTTTTTAAATGGGACAGTATGGGGGAATCCGAAACCATAGAAGATACAAGGAAATTGTCTTAGGAGCCATTATATCTAAGCCAAAAAGTCGTTGAAAAAACCAAATACAAAGACACGACAACAAACATATAGGAAAATTCGTGAGGTGCGCTGGTTCGTTCCGTGGCTTAGTAGGTATAGCGTCTGGCAGGGTATGCTAGAAGACACACACGTAACATCGGATATCGTAAAATTCAAGCAATATGCATAGAGTTATGCATATTGCTTCTATTTTACAATGTCCGATAATGATACACCAATTATGATTATGAATAATCTATCATTTCTACAACAAGAAGTTTCGAGTTACTTATCACTGAGTAAATCACAAAGTCCTTGCAAATATTCCCGTCTCTTAATGCGCCCGCTTTTGATAAAAATACAATATTATTAGAACAAGGTACTTACATCTTGTCCCGCAATATCATCCCAATGCACCTTAGGCCCTCCTTCGACAATCTCATCTAAAATCAACTGCACCAGTTTAGGGTCGATGCCTCTCACGCTCAGCGCAGGTTGGGGGGTCCTCGACCGTGTGGGGGTCCCACGCTGTGACCCCCCGACCGCGCGGCGAACCGGTGACCCGTTGTTCGGCACCTGTGACGCACCCTGACCGTCAGTCAGAGATGGTGAGTGTTAATGAGGGTGATCGTGATAAAGCAAATAATTGTGAGGAAAAGTAAAGGAAAAGGTTTTTTAAGGCTGATTACACACGGCGCGGTAACAACAGCGGCACCGCCGCCGCTGCGTTTGCTTTTACACGCGCAATGCGGCGGCGGCGGCGGCGAGTGCTGCCGCAATTGTCTACTATGTACGATTTCAGTCAATCACACCGCATGTACTAGCCTAATGATTCTCGAGGGTTCTCAAAAGGAGTCACCACATTTATCAATGCGGAATCGGCTTGAAACAACAAGAAAAAGTTTATGTTCATGCTATAATAGCGTAAAGACGATGCGCGTTTCTTCTGATGACTTAATGCGATTCCGTGACGATAAGTGGTGGACTCCTTTATGGAGATTCGTTAGGACATTTGTGCACTGGTTGTCATCAAAGAGACTTGTGAGCTGTATGGAAAGTTTTGTCGTTTCACTCAAATTACGTTGCTTGCTAGTGCACAAACGGCCTTGGCGTAAGCTGTCGTGACTGTTACTGGTTACTGGCATAGCTGGGAGAAAGCTTTGTTACAATCGGTTAGAACATAGGTTCCCAAACTTGTTGGCGCACCGCCCACTTAGGCAAGATAAACAATTTCAACGCCCACAAATAATTTAAAACATGTAGATATTTTTCATATTAAATTAACACAAAAAACCACAAAGAAAAAAAAATTATGTAGTGTAGTTTATATAGATGGGCGGACGATAACGCAGGAATCGCGGGGCGAACCTGGATGAGATTTAGCACGTGACCGTGGGGAGTGGCACAGAAACTTGGAGGCCTATACCCAGCAGTGGGTGAAGTCAGTCTGTATACGATAATCATGAGTTTATATAGATAATTCAGTTTTTTTTCAAATGCGGTACCCCCCTGGATAGCATCAACGCCCCCCAATTGCTTCCGAGACCCCTAACGCCCCCTTAAGACTTCAGCGCCCACTGGGTAGGGTAGGGACCAATTTGGGAAACTACGGGTTAAAATTTAAATGGGTGTGGAGCATAGTTATTTACGAAAGAAATATGACTACAGTTTGTGCCATTTGGCATGTCTATGGCGGTTATTGACCTGACTTCCGTCCATCTCGAAGCCACAATTCGACCGATCGCTGATCCCTATAATCCTATCGCAATTTTGACACCGCTTGAATAACATAAAAGCCAATGATGTATGTAACCATAAAAATGTCTAATTGTAATAGTGAATTTATGTTGTTAATATTACAGTTTTATTATTATTGTTTATTATATTAATTATTATTGTAATGGTATACATGTGCAATGGAAATAACAATATGCATTACGTCAGAATACATATACTACTTATAGCATTACACATTAAAACTAATATTTAAAATTCATCGCTATCATAAGTATAATTCACTTTCCTATCTTCATAAAATGATAAAAACTATGGAGTTTTGTTCTCTGCTATGGTCCTCTAAAAAGACAAATTTTAACTTATCCTCGTTTCTTTTTACCGACTTTACGCGCCAGAAGCGTGTCACTTTTCAGCAATTTTGTTTAACAATCATCATTTCTCATAATGATGGAGCCATAAAAATAAAAAGTGATAGTGATAGTCTATCAAACACAAAATGTGTGAGTACGCCTACGTTCGGTCGAGTCTCATAAATATTTACGTTTCATTTTTGTTGTTGATTTGTTTTATTACTTTGTTATTTTTTCTCAGAAATAATACTAATTTTAAGAATAATACGCAGCCAGTATAATGAACTAAAAATATTCATAATTTCATCGAAAGAAGATATTCATAATATTAACCTGAGAACTAAGTCCAAAGTCATGGTCCCACGATTTCGTTTAACTAAAGTAAACTAATAAAAAAAAATCATTTGAGTACACGATTTGACATTGATTATACCTCATTTTAGAGATATCAAAAGTACCGATTTTGGACAAACGTCGTTTAGCACTTACGATTCGAGATCGTTACTAAATTCTAACTAACGTTTGGCTAACCTTGGTCACTTGAGATGCTGCCATTCAATATGTCGATGATTAATAATTAACCTACTTCAAAAAGAGGAGGAGGTTCTCTATTCGATTTTTTTTTTGTGTGTATGTTACGTGATTACTCTGGCATTTGTGAACCGATTTCGATGATTCTTCGAACGAACTTTGTGAAAAAAAAAAATAAAGGAACAAAAAACAAAACAGGCCCAAAAATATTCACGTAGTATTGCCTCTTCTGATACACGTCGTAGTCTACGTAGACGTAACCTATTTCGATGATTCTGTTTGTGTTGGAAAGGGTAGTGGATAGTGGTCCCATTAAAATTCGTAGAAAATATTTCCTATTATACTATACCTATTATATACCTACTATACCTTTCCTATTATACTATATATATACCTCTAAGGGCAGAAAATTAGGGGATGAATTCGGTTTATTGTATTTCACCCACTTTCCGCTAACCGATTGCAATAAAACTTGGAAAATACATGTAATTCCACAACTTTTGAGGTCGGTTTTTGTTTCAATAAAAATGAGTCATAATTATTTATTAAAAATATTTCATCATTAATTTTATACATGAAAATAGCATCCAAATATAAAATAATAATGTAACTTCAGTATCATTCAAAGTAATATTGATGAAAAAACAAATTCTGTATTTTTAAGAAATTAATCATATTGGTAACAATCAAACAACTAAATTACTCAATAATTTTGGCACACTCCACCCACATGCTAAATGAACGTGTAGAACTAGCACAAAGTTAAAATTGTATTACCAAATAACGCCTACACCTTAACACAGTGACCCACCTATATGGCTATCTTTGAGGTGACGAAAATACATTTTGTTTGAACTGTGAGCCATACTGGCTTTTGTAGAAATATGACTAAATTTTCTATTCAAAACAATTACTTTTGATTACATATTTAGTTTTAAACTAAATATATATAACTAAACTAAATATATACATAATAATTAAAATTTTGTACATTTTAAAACATTCCATTAGGTAAACTTTCATTAAATCATAAAAAGTGTGCGCGAACGCGATCTCAATCTGAAATATATCTTGAGATTGAGATTTCAGTTTTATTGTGGCGGATTCATAGTTCTGCCGTGTGTGTGAAGTCGGTTTCGACTGCATGCAGTTAATGCGTGAATCTATCCGAGACCTCGACTGCATGAAGTTGATAACGACTTGCAGCCAATCTGTTAGCAGCTTAAGTCAGAGTGGTGGGAGAAGATGGACAAGCGGGTTGTAATGATTTACGATACGATACGATTTTATACTGCAGTAACTTTACCATGAGTTTAGACCGCGTAAAACATTTGTATAAAACCATCCTTGAACGGAAGAAGGAACGAATGTTACCCGCGTGGTTTTACAATGCCAGGCATCTATAATGTAGGGTTGGGCTCTACTCTTTTGGCGGGTGGTGGAAACGAGATGCTGGCACCAGTTCGAAAAGTTCTTCTGAACACTCCCCATTATAAAGACGGTAGAATACACAGAGAGCCAACGTGTCTTCGTAGACTAAGAGACTACAAACGGTCTGTGAGTTTGGGATCATCGATAATACGAACAGCCCTGCGTTGGATGGAGTCAAGTGGATCAAGCTAGTATTTGGGAGCTCCTGCCTAGAGATATCGTAATTGTGCTTTATACAACAGAAGTAGGTGACCCAGAGAGAAAGATTGCTTCGCTCTATTGAGCACTCCGAGCTTTTTGAAGCCAGTTTGGCTTTGCTCTCCAAACGATCCCGGAATTGGATTTCGTTCGTGAGTCAACTCCAAGAATCCCAATACTCTTAAAGATGGTAAAAGCAGTATGATCACAAACGAATTAAAATAGATGTTGTGACGTGACACCAAACGCTTGACCCTCTGGATGTGTTTGGTTTTCTTTCTCATATACTCCACTTCTCATAAATAATAAAATACTTCTTTTTGTTCCACTACAGGCGTTGTACAATTTGCCACATAAATTTTTCAAATACTTTACGCGGTCGGTCACTAGCAACACAAGTCACGGCAAAGGCACCTTCAAGTTTAAAGAGTAAATAGTGTGTCGGACTACGTAACGACATAACAACGGAATCTATTTACCTATGTGTCAACGAAATGTCTATGAGTAGTTCAACAAATTAAAATAAAATTAAATAATCGGCATCTATTCGTACTTACAGAAAGCTGTCTTTTGACTGCCGGCGGCGTAGAAGCCGGTTTCATTGGATATCTGCTATAGTTTCCATTACTGCTGCTATTCGGCTGAGACGAGGACCGGCCCATGGACCGCGGAAGGGTCTGAGACTTCATTAGAGGAGATCCTCCCCCGCTGGGGAGCCGTCGGCCAGCTGTAGTCAGCTTACGACCTGCTACTGATGAAGAGAGAAATTGAAATTGTATTTTTGTACAGTTAAGACCTATGAGGTTGTATTAAAACGGATTAAGTTACAGAATAGTGAAATTAAACTTAGGTATAACACAACGGCTTCAAAAATATTTACTGCTTTTAAGTTAAAACAACTAAAAACTTATGGCAACATTGTATTCAATCTGAAGTGATCGTATGTCAGTTTTGACTACTGATTGGCAGGGTATTGATTCGAAAATATAACTGTTACTTTTTTACTTGTCATGTTTGCTGTTTTTGAGTAGTGTGTGTTCAGACGATGTGTCACGTTTATTTATTTTCCGTGCAACCATTTTAACGAATGTATTTGTATAGAAATGGTAACGTATGACATGTTCACTTACTTTCTATGCAAACATTTTAATAAATATATTAGTATGGTAATCATAACGCTTATGTAAGGCTGTAGATATATTGACGAATTGTTGCAAACACTAAATTGCAATTTAAATTAAATACAGAAATCGTATTGCTTAACATGGAGCCGAGTGTTCTTTTCAACCTGTATTTTACATGTTTCTTAAGAATCTAGACCTTAAAAGTGTGGTTGTCTTTATAAAAACTAATATTTAAAAAATAAAATACCATTTTTTTATGCAGAAGGTTACAAATTACATAAACTGTAACTAATTGATATTGTAAAATTGAACCTTCTGGTGTACTCCGTGTTCAAAGTTGCAATATAGAGAAGCAACATATTACACAATGTCAGAAGTTATTAGCACGCCACGACTGCACGCGTTTGTTGGACAAAGTGGATAGAACAAAGGAAACAAAGCACTAACTAGTATAAAAAACATAAATATTCTACTAATGAGAGCTAGTGACACTTTGCACAAGCACATAAGCTTGCGGAAGCAGAAGCAGAGATCTGTTGCAACACTAATGCTGATTACACGCTAATTGCATTGGCGACCGGCAATTGTGATGCAGTTAGAAGGACCACAGTTGCGGCAGTTGTGATTTGGTGTTAATGGCCTTGGGCAAACCAGTAGCTCGTCAAACTTTTATTTAGTCGTCGTGCCAGCCAGTGCAGACGGCAGAGTCAATCTCTGGCAATAATTGTTGCTGTGGACTGATCATGCTTTCGTGAATTTGATAACAAATGTTCCGTCTAAATATATTTTGATAGCCTCATCGATATCGATACACAATTTACTCTTAGCCCCGCACTAGGAAAACCCTGTATCGCGGATGCCCTGGACACACACATAAACAATCACAAATTGCATCCAAACTCACGATAGAAATAGATGTAGGCCAGACAAATATTTCTCCAGGCCCGGGAATCGAACCCGAGACTTCTGCGCGGCAGTCCATCGTGGTAACCGTTCGCGCATTATACATTTTAACATACACATAAAATAACATGCAACTATACAATAATAAATAATTTAAAAAAATACATTTTTGAAATACTGGCCTCTGTGAAATTTCTTGTCTTTCTGGCCTTTAATGAAAAAAGTTCGCACACCCCTGATTTTGACGAATCTTTAAGGACTTGATATACAAAACAACGACACTGTGGAATCAATTACAATGTCGGTAATGTTGTGTGTATTATTTAATACACATCGGGGCGCACGTAAGGAACTTCACCGCACGACGTACCATTCTTTTCCTGAACGTCTAGCGCACCCTGGGCACTAATTGGTACCTCACGTCGATTGGCATTACAGTGTATGCCATCGATATGATAAAAATAAGAATACACGTTTACGTCATTGAATTGTTTCCAATTTTGTTAATGTACTTAGGGAAACGAGTAGTGTTCTTGAATTCTTATAGAATAAAAGAAAAAAAACATTTTTTTTGGAAGTGTCTGCAAATAACCGTCTTTCAAACTCTGTACAAGTTTGTTGAAATAAAAGAAAGTCACGTAGTGGAGAAGTGCATAGCTACAAAAGAACCGCTGTATGCATTTGTTAAAACACCTGGCCCACCTGACATTTCAAAATGGTTCTAATACTTCAGAAACTATTGTGGGCGCAATGAACTCACGAAACTTTTATCGCAATCGGATGAATAATAATGAAGAACGCATATGGGACAGACATACAAAAATTAATTTTTATGTGTGTAAATATTTATGTAAGTAGTTTAATATATTAACAAACGTAATATTACGGTGCATGTAGTTAATATTCTAGGAGCAATACCGGGATAAAAAGAATTTGAAGCCTTATAATTCATATTCTAAAGAGTTTAGCACCATAGTCTCTCAATCGATAAAACAGAATCGTTTAAACAAATTAGTTTAAACGATTTTAAAGAGATGTCGCTACCATATTCTAAATTAAAAAGGCAGAAAAAACTAATTTGACTAATTTGTGAAATCTGGAGACCACGAGGTATACATACCTACATCACTGTTATAAGAATACGATAACTGTTTCTCTTACCCCATCTTTACGGGGGAGATTATAACATCAAATGACGGGACGAACAAGTCGTGTGTCTGGTGGTAAGCTTCACGCCTGTCCATAACAGTTGCAATGCCACTAAGAGCTTTAAATCGCAAAGATCTGAGGGTTACTCTGCTCGCTTGTAGTTTCACCAGCATCCTAAGCCTTCCAAACCAGAACGCAGTAATGCTCACATTACTGCTTGGCGGCAGAAATAGGTAAGGTGGCAGTACTTTCATGGACGAACAAGGAGCTCTACTGCTACGAAACGTATGTTTTCGGCAAATACATCGTAAGTATTGAATTTAGCGTAACGATTGTTAAAACATGTAAAGTTGATAAACAAAGGCAAGTTTAGTGTATTTCAAAATTCTTATAGGACTTTATCTGTTCTACCTAGAGCTTAAAACTTATTTGACTCAAAATAAAGTAGGTATGTTCCTCTAACATACGTCCCCCTGAGACGGCGTGACCTCCTTGCATCGTCATCCCACTTTTTATTTAAGTTTCTTATTTTATTCTCACACTCGTATTTAAATTCAAATTTTGAATTAAATTAAAAAAATTATAATAGGAAATTTAAATAAAAAGGTGGGATGACGATGCAAGGAGGTCACACCGTCACACCCCTAACCTTATAATAGCTTTTTCACCTCAATAGCTCGGAAAGGCTTTCTTTCAGAAAGAAATCTGCGCGCAAAAGCGTTTTTTCCACGACAACGTGGAAAAAGATTTTGAATTTCGAACTTGACGACAGACTGTGGTGCACCTCTTTCGATGAAAAAAAAAATAAATGACACGTTCAAGTATGCGATTAGTCGTACCTTATTAATGTAATATAAATCCGTTGGTATATTTTCTTCTTATTACTGTTGACATTAAATTGAAACCGATAACTAATTTTGTTTATTAAAACTCACTTCATCATCATAATCATCATCTACCATTTTCTTCGCTACAGTGAGGTGAAAAGTTGTATGTTTCGCTCGGCAACAAAGTTGTTTTGCGTCTCGTGGCTTGAAACCCTCGCTACGCTCAGGATTCTTCGCTTACTCAGATTTCAATACAAGTACTCGCGTTAAACAACTACTTTACATCCTTGCATAACAAATAACTATTCTTGCTCTTGTTTTTGATGAACAATTACTACCTATATATTTTTTTATTATTATTTTTTATTTTTTACATATTTTTTATTTATATTGCAATTTATCTGTAATTCAAATTACTTCTATAAGTCTAATCAAGAAAATAGATGGACATATAGCATAGTACATTGCAATATATACTACGCTACATAAATTCTATGACTATGATTCACCCAGCGCTAATAGCTCACAAGTTTTGACATGTTCAAAAGTCCAATTAGTCACCGGCCGCGCCTCAGTGCTGTCGCTACAAAGAAAGCCCACCCTCGAAAATAGTTCCAACGAAAGGGAGATTAATATACGACACCGAGTTGGGGTGTTGACTTTCACGTTTTCATTATTGATTCACCTTTTGTTTGTTTCACGTTTTGTAAGGCGTTTGTCTGTGAATAAAGTATGCATTACACATTGATGTTAATAACCTCGGATAAACTATAGTAGCCTAGTGGAAAAACAGTTATTTTCCTGTGGCGGCATGTTCAGCAATCTGATTTGCTTGTCTAGTTTACCCTTCACACTTCACGTTTTTTTTTGCGAATAATACCTACCGCAAATAATCAAATTATATATCAAAATAATAATTTTGACAAATTTGCCTGTAGTACAGACTCTGCATTTCCTTGTATAGTCGTAACATACTATAATAAGTAATAGTACAGATAAGGCGTTTCTGGCATTAACTCTAAAGAGAATAGACGTTGGTCTAGAGAATGGTTGAATTTAAGAGAAAAATATACTGACGAAAATTTGTTTAAAAAAATGTTGCGCACAAAACTAGCCAAACAAAAAAAAAACAAAATACCAAAAGACAAAATTCGACACTTAATTTATATATTTTATTATAATACTAAGTGATGAGGCGAAGAAGTCGTGCGCCAGGCGGTAAGCGACACGAACGTCTGTACATAACAGTTGTAGTGCCAGTCAGAGCTTTAAATCGCAAAGAGACATAAATTGACAAGTCTAGCATCTTCACTCTTCAAAACCGGAACGCAGTAATGTTTACATTACTGCTTGACGGCAGAAATAGGTAAGATGGCAGTACTTCCATGGATGAACTCTTTCGCTAAGGGCTCTACTACTAAAAGACGTTTTTACATCAACTTCTTTAAAGTACCATGCAAAAAACGTATGGGTACATACTTTTAGCATTCGCACATTCGTTATTGTACAAATATATTATGTATATGAGTAGTACATATGTATTGCTATGTATCTTAAATCGAAGTTGACCTTCGAAACGTTCCTCGCTCAGTCACGCGAATGGAGTCATGGTCATAAAATGCAGCAAACATATCCAACGTTATAGTAACAACTTACTGTGTTTAAACACTGTGTCATAGAGTAATATAAAACACATATATAATGTACATTTGATATTTAATAATGTACCAATAGGAAATAAGCCGTGTCAAATGTTACGAGAGGATAGGACACGATATTGACTCCTGTAACACAGGTTAGTCCTTGTTCAGGCGTCTGGGACTTCATTATCGTTATTATACTTCTTCATCATTATTATTACATCCCTCTATAATTTGGGAAGTTGTTGACTGTGTGACTAGTAAGGCTATTCAAATAGTATAAAATTCCTGTATACGTTACTGTTTTAGAACACGTAAAAGAGAACATATTTCACTGTATCTTGTCGATAACAAACAGCTCAATATGGCCAATTCAAAAGTACTAAAATTAGCCTGATTTGTACAATCATTACATAAGTTTAAGGTTCCGATTTACCTCTTTGAAAAACTGGTACCGAAAAGTAGTCTTTCTTTTTTGCGAGATCGCGGTCATATTTATAAGCTACATGTATATACTTTGATCGGGACTTCGGGTTGTTTTAAATACGCCGCTTCCAAGGTGTGGAATGATCTTGCCCCGCCTGTGCGAGACTGTCATATTTTGACATTACGTACTTTCCATAAGAAATTTTTTAATTAGTGACTGTCCAGGCAAATCTTGGAGGTAGGCATTGTAGTGTAGTTGAGTGTGGATAGTGCTCTGTGTGTAATAGTAATGAAAAAATCTATATAGCGATTCATGTGTGTGGTAAGTATCTAACAATCGGGTTGAAATCTTAGAACTAGAATGATAATGTGTGTTAGTTCTTCTTTTTATGACATGCCAGGCTGTACGAGAATATCAGCGGACAGACCTTTTTATCTCACACCACTATTGTTACTAAACACTGCGTAGACCTTTATATTTATTTTTTACTTATTAATGTGTGGAGATAAATAATAATAATAATAATAAATAACGCACACACTCAACATAGCCCCGCACTAGGAAACCCTGTGTCGCGGGTGCCATGGACACACACATAGACAACCACAAATTACACCCAAACTCACGAGAGAAATAAATGTAAGCCATACAAACATTTCTCCCGGCCCGGGAATCGAACCCGGGACCTCTGCGTGGCAGTCCGGCATGGTAACCGTTCGGCCACGGAGGCAGTTAAATATAATAAACAGTTAAATATAATAAACGATTTTATTATTATTAATACAACATTTTTTTTAAAACCGACCTCAAAGTTTGTGGGATTACCACTATTTGCCAAGTGTTATTGAAATAGGTTATCGAAAAGTGGGTGAGATCCAATAAACCGGATTCATCCCCTAATTTGCCACCCTTAGAGGTGGAATATATTGTTTAAATTTTAATGAGACTGAAACTCTCTTTTCAACAGCTTTTCAACATAAAAAGAATCATCGAAATATCACAAATATCGGATTAGGCTAGGTCCAGATGGACGCTACGTTGGCGCATCAGGACCCCGATTCAGAACTCTTCGAGTTGAACGTTCGAGTCGGATTCGGATACGATATCGTTATCCAACAGCATTTAAGGAGTTAGTCGATGAAATAGATTGTAAGAAAAATGAAAATCCTTTTATACTATACATTTTTAATACTTTGAAGGCCTAAAATATAGGAATGCATTAGTCTTGCATTAAAATAAATTAATAAAATTGGACAAAATCCAGACTTTATTACTTTCTTTGTAAACAATAGGACGTTCGGTAACGTTTATTGGATAACTGTGTTCTTGAATAACGTTTGTAGAATTTGATGGTCGAGAAGTTCGAGTAATCGTACGGGTGTGACGTTATTTCGGTTCGGTTTAGAATACTACATTTTGACGTTCGATTCGGGTGTTGTGAATAAAAATAAGTAAGTAAGGTTCTGAACCGACCCCTTGATGAGGCAGTGGTCTTCTTCTCGATACTTCCAATGAACACTTAATTTTTGGACTTCTTCTGTTCTATTTTGTGTCTTTATTATTTATCACAAAATTGTTTTTTTTGTTTTTTTTACCAATTTTATTTCACAAAACTCGTGGAGCATACTTATTATTAAATAAACATGGCTGTTGACAAAAATAACAGAAAATTACCAAAAAATAAAGTTAGAGCAGCGTTTACTGGAGGAATTGTGAAGCGGTGACGCTTCAGAAGGAGGCGGCGTACCTTCGCTGCTGCGGGTGATCGGAGCAGGGGCTCTGTTTGCCAGTATGGCGCGAGGAGGACGACGAGGCGGTGTGGCCTGCTGCTTCGTGAGGAGGAGGGGGAGGACGTAGCTTCTCTCATGTGATGGGGGATTCCGGTGCGCAATGTCAGTCCCGGACATGACATATCCTTCATATTCACACATTGACTTTTACTTTTTTTTTTTTATTTTTTTTTTTTTTAATCTAAATTAACACCTTTGATAAGAAATTTTAAATAAATAGAAGTATTGCCATCTCCTGAATAATCACTCTTTAAAAGATTGGAGTTTAAGAAGGTAAGGCATCGATTTGGTGAAATTACAGGCACATTATTGTCAACTAATGTCCCAAGACGACGGGCAGTGGCAGTGCCCCTCTGATGTTAGTGATTTAAAGCTCTGTGGGACATTGTAACTGTTATGGACAGGCGTGTCGCTTACCACCACGAGCTCGTTTTGTTCGTACCGTCATTTGGTACTATAAAAAAATATTTTTGATCGATTGAGCTACCTAATTTGCTTTTCGAACAATGACCAATGCCTAAAACTCTTAAAAACAAAAGAAGTAATTTTGAAAATGGTAACAAAACCTCAACAATCGTTACTAAGCTTTGTTCCACATTGTAGACGTTTGACATTGAACGAGAACTACTGTAGCTTCACAGAATAATGGTCGAGGGTCACTGCGCTTGTGTAATAATGTCTGCGTACAACAAATGGATGAAGGTTGACTTCATTGGCAAAACTTACTTCATAACTTTTATATTGAATTTATCATTCGTATCATGTCTTTAAGCTTCAATGTTGCATGTTCATATACAAAAAAAATATGTAATCTTAATTACCTAATTAAAAAAATATTTTTGCGAAATAAGCTATACATAAACCTGGATATTGTAATATTTTTAATGTTATGCAAACATGATGTGCTTTTTTCCGTTTAATCAGTGTTTAACTAAAAATTATAAAAACTTTGAATTGTGGACAGTGTTTATCAATATGTGAAATCTCGCAAGTTACAAGTACATATTGTCCAGTTCGTTCACCAACCAATGACGTCACGCGTTTTAAGGTGACATGTAATGCAGTTTGCGCTTTTTTTTTCATCGTTTAAGAAAAGCTTTATTTGATAAAATAATATTTTTCTTGACTGAATAAAAAAAACTGAAGATTTGAAAAAAGATTGGGATTTTAAAAGATAGTATGTGTTAGGGTGAGAATCTAGACAGAAACGGATAATAACAAAAAGAAGAAAGATGATTATTAGGGACCCAAGTCCCATTTTTACAAGACCCATTTTTACAACTGCCTCTGTGGTTAAACGGCTATTATGCTGGTCTGCCACGCAGAGGTCCCGGGTTTGACTCCCGGGAGAAACGTTTCTCTCGTGAAAAAAAGGCGGGAACATCTTTGACCACGACAGTCAGCAAAATACCTGACTAAACAATCTGTACGGCTGGGCTCCACTGTGAATAGCTTTCCAATGTGATACTGCAACCCATCTGTTTATAGCCAACAAGGCTGATTGCAGTATAAATAAAAAAAATTATCTCGTGAGTTTGGGTAGGATACCCATCACACATTTGTGATGTTGTTTCAGGCGCCAAGCGGCAATGTCAGCATTACTGTGTTCGGATTTTGAAGGGTAAGGGTGCTGGTGAAATTACAGGCACATGTGACTTGTCAACTTATGTCTCAGGGCGAC